TCACCAGTGAACAGAACAATGTGCAGTACATGGCCGGAACTCAATAAACATGTGTTAAAGGAGTAAACGTGATTGCTGTAACCGTTTACAGAGATAGGAAGAAGCAGCATCCCGAACAGAGATTCGCTCTGTAAAGGTAAACGGTAACTAACTAGAGCACTGTCTGCACTCTGTGCCCCCTGCACTCTCGCCTTGACATTCTCAGTAAAGTACTCTCCTGAATCTCACATTCCAATCAAATTTCCCTTATGTCCCGGGTCACCGGAGGCCATACATTGGAGGCCTGTGTGACAGATATAAGGCTTACACATGGAAGTCTTTGGTTTGGCCCACATGATGTAATTTAGGAATGTGGAATTAGCTACTGGCACTTGAAAGTGGGTACATTCCACATAAAACTGTAAACTGACAGTCTACCTTGGGAAAAAATACAAAAACAAAAACAAAAAAAACATAACCAGATCTGGCAAGACCAGACCTGAAGTCCCACCTGAAGCCCCAAATCCTGTTCCCCTCAAGCTGTTACTTGCCTGGCTGCTGAAGTCATTAGAGTTTGCGACCCCTGCTGGAAAACTACCAAAAAGCATGTATTAGAGAAAAAGAAAGATGCCCACTGGGATCTATTTCTGTTATGTTCAGGCTATTGCTTGGAAGAATAATGTATTCATTTTTCTAGACCTCTTGTAGTAGCACATAACTATTGACAAACTACAGCCCAGTAGATATTATTCTAACGATCTGAAAAAGCTATAGACTTCATCCCCCATGGGTAGAGGAAGCTAAGGATGCTTCAGGCTGGAGACAGGACTGAAGATGAATGGGGAGAGGCTGTATATCAGCTGGTTGCAATTCTGGCTAAGCCAGAGAGAAAGGGAATTCGCTTGAAGTCTATGGATTGCCTCTAGGAATTGCTGAGAAGCTGAAAAGTCAGGATTGGAAAATGAGAAGGAATGAAAGAAACCTGGGCACCAGGGGCAGGTCAAGATGGTGTTGCAGAAGAGGCACCTCTGGGACCACACCTTGGGACATGCATGCTGCTGTGGATGCCTCTTGATCCATGAACCAAGGTGGTAAATAAACCCTCCAGTGTCCCTGTGTCCTTTAGCTAGTCTTTCAAGATTCCAGGCCCCAGATGGGATCATTCAACTAAGCCCTAGTTCAGGGCTGGGAGAGAGGGATAAGGAAAAAGAGGCCCATCTCCCACAACAACAACAAAAAATCCTTCTATGAAGGGAAGGTTTTGCTCCCTAAATAGGATATTTGGTTCCAACTGCTCAGAAGGGTTTTAAGTGATTCTGAAGAGAGAGGGCACTACAAGCACGAATGCAGAGTGAAATAAGAACATGCAGTCCTGAATTCTAGTCTGGAATCCTTTGTACCTTTAGAAAATTAATTAAGTTTTTCGATCTGCAGATTCCAAATCCTTAAATTAGAAATGATGCCATCTGCTCTCCAGGGTTGCTGTGAAGATTCAGTCCAATCATTCATTCAATTATTCCAAACATATTTATTGAATGTCTACGTGCCAGGCAGACACTGAGTGAGGTTCTGGAGACGTGTTTGGGACACCTAAAATGCAGTTGGGAGCCAGTGCATTATGCTGATGAAAGATTTGGACAAGGGAGGCCCAGGTCATCTCATGACACTGCTCATGTTTTACTTTTCCCCAATGGAGTCACTCCCCATTTATGACTTTTCTTTGTTTTTTTTTTTTTTTTTTTTTTTATTAATCAACATCAGGGCCCTCTCTTCAGCCAGATTTTCTTAAGACATATACGGTGTAATCTGTTAAAAAGAAAAAAACCCCTAAAAATTGACTGCGATCCTGAAAACAAGAAACAAGTCATTCTGAGAAGCAGTGAGGCCCAGTGCTTGCAGCATTCAGGTGAAGTGATCATAAGAAGGCACTAGCCAATTAGATGACATCTCCCCCACTTAATGTTTAGCATATGTAATTTACTCAGACATATGCAAACTACAATTAAAATGAATATTAAAATAGGTCTATGATAAAAACTTAATTTTTTTGACTTTTTTACCCTTTACAACTGCACAAGTGTTTTATAATCAGCAAGATGCTTTTCGTATAGTTTCTCACTTTCTCATAATAACCCTTTCATCGCTATTTTCCAGAGGAAGAAACATAGGCTCAGGGAAGGACAAATTGTTTGCCCGAGGTCATGGGGCAAGAAGTTGGCTTTAAATCCATCTTGCACTCTCTTGCCTTCTGCCTTAAGAAAAGAGCAGCCTCAATGAAAGCACTAGATCACGTAGCGAGGTTGAACAGAAAAAATGGGGAATAGCTCTGATCTTTTCCAACACCAGCCGGAAAGTTACTGCATTTCCCTGGAAGCAGTTAAGAAGTTACTACCCTCCTGCAACAACCGTCTCTAACACAGCCTCTCAGGCTTAGAGTCAGGCCTGGAAACCTGGTGCCTGAGCACCCACCTAGGGCACAGGCTCAGTTTCATCAGGACGTCCAATACATCTTACTGTGCCTTCCTCCAAACCTTAGTCCCCATAGACAGACATGATTTAGCAACCATGGTGGGGACATGCCATCGTGGGTAGATGCCATGGTCTAGGAAAGGCAGTGTGCATGGATTGAGCAATTTGTACCACCCAGTACATCTTTCTAAGCTCCTTCCTAGTCAACATCAAGTTTCAATTCAAGGCAAGAAAAACTTCCATGTAGCTTTTCCCTTCAGAGGGCCCCCAGGACTTTTCCAGTAAAATAATTTCTTATTTTAATGAGAAAAGTATATGCTCCAACTTTTGGAGGGAGCCAGGGAGGGCCTGAGGCTTCATCCTAGGCATATTGACAGGAGAGTAAAGAGCCCCTCCTCAGATGCAGTATCAATGTACCACTTTCTCACCAGCTTCTCAGAACAAGAATCTTCCATCTTATAACTACAGAGCACTGTATACCCTGCGGCTTCACAGGGGATCTAGAAGCACAGCTGACTAAGCCTTACTAAGGAATCTTCATCTATGCTGCTGTTGTCATTAACTGCTTCCACTTAAGACTGCTTAGTCATGAATTTGTCCATCCCTGTCAAACTCGGCTGAAAGAGTTAGATGGGCTAACCCAAACCTGGAAAGACTCTTTTAGAAATTATTCTTTCTCTGCTTAGCTCTGGAGGAAACCTTATGTAACACAGTGGTCCATTTCAATGTTATTTCTGCAATCCTGTGGGGGAAAATCTAAGCTCTGGATATACAAAGGGAAGGGTAAGGCAAGGATTTGCAGCCAAGCGCGCGGCTCCTGGAATTTCAGTAGGTAACGCTTATTCTAATTGCACCCAATGTTACCCAATATTACCAGAAATGCAGAAAGCAAGAAAACAATCCAAACGCCATAGGATGTGCTTTGCTTTAGAAATCCAGGGAGGAAGAAGTTAGGTTATTTCTCCCTTCTTTTTTTTTTTTTTTTTTTTTTTTTTTAAGATGGAATTCCTGGAATTAACCCTTGAGTGGAAGGATTTCAACAAAATTAAATGAGATTTGCCTCCAAAACAATAACTTACAGGTGGGAATAAAGGAACCTGCCGGTGCCAGACTGCTGCCACAGCAGTCGCCGAGCACCCAGAGCCTGAGAGCCAGAGCGTGGGGACTCATCTGGGGACCCTCTTCCTGGGCTAGTTGTGGGAGGCTCAGCGGAGCCAGTGGTGGCGGGGTTTGCTACCCGGGCTAGGGCTGAGGGAGAAGAGGGAGGACTGGCTCTTTGGCTTCTAGGCCACTCTCCCCGCCATGCCTTGAGGCTGCTCCATGCTAGCAGGAGACTGCTTCTGGGAGCGCAGCGCAAAACAGTGGATTTGGAGTGGCCTCCCTAGAATCCTCCCAAAAACATCTTGGCACAAGTTGTAGATAAAAATAGCTCTGGATAACCTTGTGGGAAAGGAAGGAGCGAGACTCTCGCCAGGCGAGGCACGGGTACCACTGGCTCTGCAAAGGGGAGGTGGAGGGAGGGATGCAACCCTTGGCGGATGAGAGCTCCCTGAGTGTGTGAAGAATCGCTGGCTCTCAGGGGAGGGGATGAGATGGAGGACCTATAGCTCCAGCAAATAACTGTAGCGCCCAGCACACCCCATCCCGTGCCGGCACCTTGGCTCCAGCTTCTTCATCACATCATCCGCCTACGTTCTGGGTCTGCTCTCGGCTTTCCGGGACAGGCTGAGGCCAGAAGGAGGAGCAGCGCGAGGTCCGCTGCTTGGCTGGAAGAGCGCACCTAGCGAGGTTAGGCTCCCGAATAAGACCCTTCTTAGGAGCAGGGGGCAAGGGGCTCCAACCGCGCTCGTTCGCATCCCGCCATCCCTCACCTCCATCCGCTGCCACTACCCAAGAGCCCGGAAACAGAAACCGACAAGGAGATAAAAAAATCAGTGAAAAGTAACAAGAAAAAATCAAGAGCCCCATGTAATTGGCATTGGGGAAGAGCGGCTTACTTATTGTCAGGGCAGTCGCCTCAATCGCTCTCCTTGGGAGATGCCTGTCTCCAACCAAATGCAAAGGCAAATCCGACCAAGGCTTCAACACCCCAAAGGTTCCCTCGGCCGAGTTACTTTTGCAGACTGTGTCTCCGCCCCAGTTTCTGGCCCCAGGTGACACCCAGGCTCCGTAAAGCGCTGCACTCTCGCTGCCCCACAGGGTCCTAAGGTGAAGCTGCAGTCGCTGAACGGCCAGCAAGAGCTAACCTCCCGACTCTGCTGGAGGGAAAAACATTCAACCCATAAGAGTCAGAAATCTGGGTCCCAGTCCTTACAGATCAACTTGTCCAGAGCAGGGGTGCTAGGGTAGGAGGTGAGGAGGATGGGAAAATTCCCAGTCTCTTCTTCCTGGTTCCCTCTGCATCCACTCCACCTGCTCCAGCCCCGATTCTTCTTGGATTCTGCACTTGCCCGAAGTCCCGAAAGCCAGCCGAAAGAGCCTCGGAGGCCCCCACACCTACGTCCTGCCACTCTCCAGCCTGGCGGCCCCCACCCCGCGCGCGCAGCACTCACCTGAGCGGCGCCACCGTCCCGTCCGTCGGGCGCCCTAAATAGGCTCCTAGGTTGGGCCATGGGCAGCACTGCCTAGCACCCGCGGCGGGTGGAGCAAGTTTCGGGACGGCCCGGGTCAGGCGGGCGGCGAGAGGGCGCAGGCACCCACTGAGACCCAGCGGTGGTGGCAGCGGCTCCTAGCTGCCAGCGCGCCGAGGACCTCGCAGGCGGGCGTTTTGGTGCTCAATCCCGAAGAGGGGAGGAGCGGGAGGAGGAGCAGGAGCAGAAGGAGGGGACGGAGGAGGCCGGGCCCGGAGGGAGAGCGCGTAGGGCAGAGGAGGATCGCGAGCGCCCACTGCTGCCCGACGCACTCGGGTGCGGCCCCGAGTCCGGCCCGATGGGTGCCGGGGGCTCCTCTCTGCGCTCAATGGCTCGGCGCAGCCCGGCCTGGCACGCAGCTCCAGGGGCCTGTCAGGGAGTAGTCGGTCCCGCCCACTCGGTGCGGCGGCCCCTTGGGTTTCAGTCCGAGGGGAGGGACCAGCGCCCCGGGAGGGTGAGGCGGCTGGGTTGGGTGACTCCGCTGTCACTGGTCACTGCCAACCTGGGACGTCCCGTCTACTCCCTCATGCCTGCTTGGTCTGAGCCCGAGCCTACCTCTTCTTCCCTAAGTCGCCAGCTCCGCACTTGTACGCGGGACCTGTGCTCCTCCCACGTGCGTCTGCACCACGCGTGTTCCCTTCCTGGCAGGTGACCCACCTTAGGAGTTGGCGCTCCTCCTGCCTCCCTGGAAGCAGGCGGTGCCATCCTCTCCAGTTCGCTGTGCAGCCGGGCTGGGACCTGAGCGGCGGCCTGGGCCGGAATCCGCTCGAGGAGCCGGCTTCAGAGAGCGCCCTGTAGCCATTGAACACGCCTTCTCCTTGGGTTTTGCGTCGGAGAGAAATTTGCCAGGAGAGCGCGGATAATTCAGCTTTTTTTTTTTTTTTTTTTTTTTTTTTGGCTACTGCACTAGGATTGTAGGATTGCACACGTCAACTCTGAAATAAAAAGCAGGGTCTCCCTGCCCCGCCCCCCGTTCCGGAAGCTGGGAGGTTCTGTGGGAGACACCTGCACCCAATAATTCAATTTAAGATTTAAGGTTTGAGAGGCGTGGGGTTGGAATCGCCTTGGAGAAACCGGCTTGCCTGCTAACCTGAGCCAAAGCAAGTTTCCCTCAAGGGCAGGTCAGCAGTCATAACCCCCAAAATGCAAATGCACAACAAAGTAACTTCCTTTAAATGAGATTTCAATAGTTTCCATGTCTTCCATATTAGTAAATAAATATTTGGAAGAGTTCGAATTTGTGATTTATGCTTAAATATATTTTACCAACATTGTTCAATTTAAAAATCTTTTCCCATCTAAGAGAATGTTCCTGTAGGAAATTGGCTCCTTAAGTCATACACAGATTACACTCGCACTTTGACAAAGCAAAGCAGTGTCTTTTTGATAAAGCCAGAAGCATCCTGGAAGCTGAGACCTAACTGTGCTTTTGGAAAATAAGCTTTTAGGAGTTGAATGACCTTGTCTACTTCTTTGAGTTGGAATAATATTGGCATGTCTATTTTAGTTAAAAAATAAAATAAAAATTCTAAAAAGTGACTTTAAAGCTTCACTTTGAAAGCCTTAGCATTTAAGCTAACATTCGATTTAAAAGAAGTGCTTTTCTCCCCCATTCTATGAAGCTGTGTAAAATCATGTATGAGGTTGTGTGGGTCAAATGGAAGTCTAAGATAAAGCTCTGCCAATTACTGGTGTCTTTAAGCTTCCACCAGCAGCCAAGCACAGTGCAGATCATGAGTTCTTCAAAATACGGAGTGGTTTTGATGCTCTAAGTTGGTACGATTACTTTTTCTAAAGAGTTCAAAGTGCTTTGGTGCCATAGTATGAATTTCATTACCCATTGTGAGACACAAAGGGGTTTAGCAATGATTCTGTTTGCACCCTGTAAGCGAAAGGCAGGTTACTGACCTACTTAGTTCCCTACCACAAGACCTTGAAAGAAACTGGAACCCCAGGTCTCCAGCCCTGAGCCTTTGTTAGAAGCTTCCATTTGCAGGAAATGATTGCAGGCACATGTGGCAAGCTATAGGAATTTGAGGACCAGCATTCTAGTTTTCCTCATTTCTTTCTAAATCTGAGCAATCCTTCATTGATGAATAATCAATGTTCTTACATTCAGATAAATAAAACTATCAGCTGATGAGTTTGTTTTTGAATTTTGTTCTGACTTAGCTTTATATGTGTGTCAGGCACTTGTCATTTCTCCTAAATAGCTCTTCCTGAAGTCTTCCTGTCATGAGTTAGATTTCCTATCCTGAAGCTCGTACAGTACCAGGGCTTAGCTCTCTTGTAACAACACAAGCACTGTATTGAAACATCTATTTAGGGATCTGTCTTCCCGGGTAGATTGTAAATATCTTGAACTTGGGTATCATGATTTAATGGTGAATAGTGCATGGTCTCTGAATCCCAGAATCCTGCATGGTATCTGAAACACGCTATGCTCTCCAAAAATAAAAATAAAAATAAAAATAAAAAATGTAAATGGGACTTCCCTCAAGGAGTCTGGGTTTAAGTCAATCAAGTTTCCCTTTCAAAGCAGTGGGCATGACGATAGAGGCTTGTAGGAGACACAGTAGTAGTTGACTGGAGAAGTGGCTGTCGGTCATAGATGTGTGGCCCAAGACTCTTTTTCTCAGTGCCAACAACTGAAAAATCAGAGGGTTTTAGTGGAAGATCTCTGTACTGTTAATATTCTAAGATCTCAAAGTCTTTATTGAGCATGTAGTATGTATTTAACACTATGCCAGTTACTAAGGAAAAGGTGAAAAATTAAGACATCTCCATTGCCTAGAGGGAGCATAAAATCTCAGCTCAAGGGAAAACAAGGCTAACACCCATAGGCTACCTTTACAGAAACTCACAGACATCAGTTAACACAGATGTAAACTGTCCTGACGAAGGTAAAGACTCAAGGAGTGAAAAGGGGTGAAATAGAAACAAAGGCAACTGACCTATGCGTGTGGACAATCATCAGTAATAATGCCAGCTAAAATGTATCTAAGGTGTATAGTGCCAGGTACTATGCAAAATGAGTCATATTAGCTGCACCTTTTGTTCACGTTGCAAATGGGGAAAGGGAGGTTTAGAAGAGTTTAGTGACTTGTTCAAGGTAACATACTAACAAGTGGTAGGGCTGATATTCACATAGGTCTCCACAGTGTGTCTTCTCAATCAATCTTAGACATCATTAGCCTAGACCTCCCTATTTTATGCTTGAGGTAGTTTATCAGGGCATTAAAGGAGAAAGCTACCCTTCCAGTAAAAACTAGACTCCTAGTCCGGGGCTCTATATAATTGAATAATTTGTTTGTGTTTGCTATTTAGGGGATTTTCCTCTTTTCCCCAAAAGATATGATATGAGAGGGAGGTCAGGAAAAGGGGAGAGAGAGAAAAAGAGAGAACTTCCTTCTTCTGAAGATATTCAGAATCCACAGTAGTCTACCTGCCCAGACTCAATGGGGTTTTATTTGTAACCCCAGTCAATTGGGCTGCACTATATAGCTTCTCTTCCCATAATGGCTGTTTGAATCTTTCAGGTTAATAGCATGAATATTAAAGACTCCAATGGGATTCTTTGTCAGCAAAGGAAATTGGGATCAGGTTAAAAATCCAATTTTAACAAACTTTCCAAGTCCTGATTTAGATGATGCACTAATGGCTCTTAATGCTGAATCATCTTAAAAGTCAAATGTATTTTTAAAAGGGAAGCTTGCTGGGTATTGTTTAATTGCACATTGTACATTCCTGTCTTAGTAGAAAAAGATCATCTGTAAAACTGACGAGAACCGATAGCAAATCCCACTATCCACAGAGCCAGTTGGGTGGAGGGAAGGATTTTGGGTTTGAAAGATAATTTTCACTCGTTTGACCAAAACAAAGAGAGCGTGATTGCACTGTGTGAAAATGATATCCTCAAATAACTCCACTAATTTGATTGCGCTGAGGTCCAGAATTGTTTCTATTTCTTTTGATTTGCTAATTAGCTAGAGCAGTCTGCTAGTGAGCGGGGAAGTGAGGGTCATAGCCATAAAACATGGAGGATCCTGGTTGCTTCCAACTCAATTCACCCATCTTGTGCCTCCCCCACCAGCCTATCCCAACTCCCAATTTGTCTCTGTGTATGTAACAACAATCCATCAATCTACAACAAATGGACTGTTTTTTTGTTGTTGTTGTTTTTCTGAAAACAGGATTTTCAAGATTATTTACTTTAGGATGCCAAATTTGGCACATCTTGGCATATGTGGTTACAAGGTCCAGTTATGACTTTTATGATGTTTTCCTTTATGAATCCCCCTCCCTGCCTTGCCAAGTTAAAATTATATTTTATGACTACATTAGTATAAAGATGGATATATTTTCTTCTTTACTTAAATGTCTTCTTTAACCTAAAAGCTTATTTTATTTTCTGATTTTTAAAAGAAATTAAATCATTTTTGGGAAGCCCTCAAAGCACCATAAGCCCTGGGCAGAGTGCCTGAAACTTCTAATGGAGAGTTTGGCCCTGCGAAGATGATATTGCAGAGGAGGAATGCTTATTTAATTTAGGTAAAGTATACACGTTAAATGCAATTTCATAAAAAAGCTTGTAGTCTATTTGTTGTGTCGGATAAACAACTATAGACAAATAAAATATTGCTTTTATTTGTTATCCCGTGTTAAACTGTGGCTCAAATTACACATATCAGTGCTACAAAAATTGCAGTATTGCAGACTTGAAGTGGTACCATTGTTCAAATTACTAGGCCCCGCTGAGGGCTGGAATACCTTCAGGGCAATGGAAAATTGTGGCACTCTCTTTGATTTTAGGTTTTGGAACCAAAGCTGGTTGATTTTTCGATGAGCAGGTCTTGATGATTTTCTCTTTTAGGGCTTATTCAAGGATACTGGGAAGCTCACACTCTTCAGGAAAAAAATAAAAAGTTTTCTCTCCTGGCAGGCCCATCAGTTCAGTTGAATCAATATTTATTAGATATCTCCCATATAACAGCCTTTGTGCTAGGTACGTGGGTAGAGATTTATGAAGAAGAATGAAATTCAATCCCTTACTTAAAGGAGCTGATAGATGTGCATGAACAGAAAAATTACAA